GTGGCAACAACGGACAATCTGGAGAGTTGAGCACGTTTACACTTACCCCATGGAGGGATGCAGGCAGTTTTCTTTGTGATGGTGATAGACATTTTGCAGTTTGTTTTTACGTGTTAAGATAATCCGCAAATCATCGGGGTTCAACTTTGCGGTAGCTCCTTGGGATGTTCTGTGTCGCGACATTCCCCTGTACAAGTCACCATCAGAGTCTTCCTGATCGTAGTCTCGCAACGCAGGACACAAACGGATGTTTGGATTCCTGACGCTTCCAGCCCAAAGATCAGATTTTATCCATCATAGCGCATAGAACACTGTTTTTCGACCTCACGTCAATCCTTTCCAAACTTTGACCCTCCAGCCACAATAACTTGCAACATCCTTGAGGCAGTGGCCATGTGGCTGAGAGCTGTGCCGCAGGGCAAGGGCCTGTTGGCTGGACAGCCCAGTTTTTGGAAGAGTCTGAATCCTTTAGGCCCAGGCTTTTGGCTTGCTAACCTACAACACCAGACAAAAGTATGTGTTATATGTGTTTAAAGCAATGTTTCAATTCAACATTAAGTGTAACTCCAATACATAATGCATATGGCCCATATTATCATATGGCAACCCCCAAAGTCTACCTCTTTCAAGGGATTTGGTGGTATTTGCAGTGTTCTTGGTGCACTTTTTCATTGTGTTTTCGGTACGGCTTTGAGACCTCCATGGAAGGAGAGAACCATATGAGCCACGGTCAAAACATGCGAAGACCACTTTAGTAAAGAGGGGTAGGTTTGTGCACAAAACCCTGCAAAACGATAAGGTCCACCTCAAAACCGATAACCCCAGCGCTGTATATGGTCATAAGTATGCGACGAACTCAAAACGCTGTAAAACGATAAGGTCCACCTCAAAACCGATGACGTCCATTTTTTAGCTGAAGAAGAATAAGGAGTTTTGACCGTCCCTCATATATTTTAGGTTCCTCTTTCCCTTCCCCGCTGTTTCTAGGAGCTGAAACGGTTGACATATTTTGGGGTAGCATATACATAATATAGTCTAATGTGATATAATATGATATATATATATATAGTTTTTTTAAATTACAGTTATATAATTCAATTACAAGCGGAGAGGTGGCGAGTCTCTCCATGCTGTCCATTCCGCTTGCAGTAGGTCGATCGGATACCAAGGCTGATTGTGAGCCTTTGTTCCAACAGACTGATTGCGGCTCTTTATGTAACTTTATGTGTTCATTTGTTTATGCAGGCTGTATTTGTCAAGTGCTGAAGCGCTTTGTTTGGACTGTCAGCCTCGCAAAGGTACTGAGGTACAATGCTTGCGTGATAAAAAAATTGCTCTACTTCGAGTGATGCCCACCCTGAAAGGCGAGGCAGGGCACATATGTATTGACAGACTAGCCTGACAAAGGCGCACATGCAGATTGAGACAATGTTCTGACGCTTGTTCTGGCATCAAGTCTGGTTTGTGCTCTGACAGATCATCTATCATAGAGGCTGGGAAATGTTCTGGACTGTGTTCCGACGTCCTTGTTGGCGTGTGTTCTGGCATTTTTCCTGTGTGACACGTGATGTGACATATGGACCGACTTTGGTCCTGGTAAACTCTGTCATTCTATCTGGCATTTATTTTGACATTCTATCTGACACCCTATTTGGCGTGCATTCTGGCATCCTATCTTGCATATATTTTGGCAATCTATCTGGCATACATTCTGGCACTGTATCTGGCAGAACTGCCGGCAGTCTATTTGGCACTCTATCTGGCGTAAGTTCTGCCACAACCCTCACCTGAAAGGCGGGGAAGAACTCGTAACAAAATATCTACCGATAATGGTCGTTGGTAATTGGACAGTTCACTGAGTTCACTGGTCCGCCAGGTATCAAACTCATTTGGCTTAACGTTCTTGCTTGGAGAGCACCCATGGAAGCACCAGACAGCGCTCAATGGATGTCGCCGAGGTGCTTCAGGATGGCCTTGACTATATGACACGTGACGGTCCAAGGCCTTTGAGAGCGGTTTCATCAACTTATCCATTCAAAACCATTTGTTATCACATGAAACATAGTACTGTGCCAGGGGTCAGTGGATTTAGACCAAGGACCTTGTGCTTATGGCCGTGCAAGTGTCAGTTTAATCCAAAACATTTTGCAAGACTGGTGCACCCTCCAATGTTTGGACAGAGATTTCAGACAAAATGCTGAACATATCTGAACATGTTTTTGTTTTTTGGGACATTTTCATCTTGCGGTTCTTACTGTTCCTTGGTCAGGCGTTTGCTTGCAAGGTTGTTGTGCAGACACAAAGGCCGGACTATCCTTTTGTCAAAGATTGAGAGGCTATGAACATTCAGTCTAATTTACAGTATATAAGTATATATATATAAGCAGATGGACTGAAGATGTCTCAGTATCAATATGTACCACACAAAATGCAACCCACTACAGTACTGACTAGAGGCTAAACTGATTGTTGCACTTCAGTGCTGGCATGACATTTGCAGCCTTTTTGAACCTCTTCAAGTGTCAAGGTGCTTGTTTGAGCTTGTTTGTCGAACTGTTTCATCAATATCCAGGTCTACATTTGCTTGTGACACTGTCACGGAAAGGAAGCCAGGCTGTTTGGGAGCAAGAGCATGTTGGTGCGGGAAATCACAATGGGCAGATCTCTACGCATTTTTAGGTATATCATCTGCCTTGTGATTGGGTTGGTACAAGCCGTTTGTGTGACAGCAAAAAGGTGCTGATGACGGTGAAACGTTGTTACAGAGAGCTGTTGAACTGAACACTGTTCTATTTGGAACGTTCACAACATGACGTCAAAAGGCAACCAGGCTCGCCTGCATTCGAGGACACCAGATCTCCCAAAGACTTAGCAATCTAAATAGATCCTTGATGATCAATATACACATAAATTAGGTTCAACCTACAAATCCATACATGGCAGGCCTGCAAGAATTTGTAAGGCCCCGGGTCTCCGGCCTCCAATAGTGTTGCAAGATGTTGCAAGTGTTTCACTTGGCGTGGCCAATCTTGGAAATGGAGTTTATTGGGACGCCTGAGGACAATTGCCCAGTCCAAGCAAGTAGTGGTAGGACTACCTTGCATATTCCTGAGCAAGACCTCTTTGATGTGCGTAGAGTCGAACACAGTAGAATCACAGTTGTACTTCTCATGGAAGGTACAAATCCATCATAAGATGCGTGCACCCTCCCGACTGACTAACATGTTACCAACTACAAAATAGTATATGATCGATCGGTCAATGGAGGGAGGGATTGATTGATGCTTTGCCATGCTTTGACTTTCAAGAGGCAACAGCAGCAGACCCGATGGGCAATTTATGAATTCACAGTGTATCCCAATTGCCAGGCACAAGGCTTGGATGAGAAGCCTCTGAGTCCGCACGTCACTGAATTGGGGCGGGTTGTTGGGGCCTTAAAAGCAAATCACCGAGACGTCAGGGAGACTGCGAGATCTGCAGGCTGGGTTGAAAACCGAAGACTTTACCTTGCTTTCCCGACAGCCTTGATCAGCCTTGATCACTGTGATGTTCCAGATGGTACTTCCTTCAGTCGCTTTGGGTCTACACTTGTGTGAAATCCTTTGTCAACCAAGGTGCCTTTGCCATCGCTTTCTCATCACGAAGCTGCACAGGCGCATTGTGCATCGTCGCCGCATAAGCACCAAAAGAACGTCACTGCAGAGGTGAACCTAGATGGCCGATCACCATATTAACTTTTGACATAAAGAACCAAAGTCAATGTTCGGCAGTTTTTGGCAACTGTTTTTATGTTGTACAAGAATGTTAAAGTTCATCAATATGTGTGCCATTTTGGTGTCAGCTGTGGAGTAGTGCGACTATAAATCTCTTCACTTTTCAGTGCCAATAAAGGTTGGAGGCCATCGCCAATAGAAATAAATAGAAAAGAACCATGAAAAAGTCTATCATGAAACGATTTTAGCATTGCTTTTTATTTCAGCATTTTCATTTCGCATTGCATTGTCAGTATACTTTCAAGGCTCAGAGTTAGTTTCTTCACTTCCCCAGCTTGGAGGTGTTCGTATCACTTCTCTATCGTCGTGGGCAAGATCGGCTACTGAATGGCCTTACCCGGGACAAGGCATGGAGAATCTTGCAGAGTGAGACCCTAAGAGCAACGTCTTTGGATGCCGCCTGTGACAAGTCGTTAATTGAGTGAGCACGAGAAGCTGCCACCCTCTCGTTGCAGCACTGCATCAGGACACTAAGGGAGAAGGAACCCGAACAACTTCAGTTTCATATTCATGTTGGCAGCCTAGTAGCACAACTACCAGTCTACAAGAGCAAGCACAGACGACAAAATGTGAAGAGAGCCCGTCATTTTGTTTGAAGAAGGGTTTGTTTCTGAACGAAATCAAGTTTGCACAGAGGACATAATCTACTTTTGGTAGACATCATTCAATCACATGCTCCTGTAAACAAACTTCAGTCTAAAGAGATTAGCCTGCAAAATGAAGAATTTGCTGCAGAACGAGATGGACCATACATACATAGATGAACTTTTGCAACTATGTAATGGTTGAAACATATATAAATGAAAGTTAACAGTTAACATAATTATCTGCGACTCCTCGGAGAGAGTGAGATCCGCCATCAGGCGGTCGAGCTCTTGCAAGATGAGAAGTTGCTGCGAAATTGCAAGGGACAACTTGGTGAGGCTGCGAAAATGGACCTTGAGATGTTTATGCGCCCCTAACCTCAAAGGTTTTTTTGTGTGCAATGCATGAGTCAAATTGTCTGAAACAAGTATGCAAACACACATGTGATAGAACTAAATTTCAAGATTGGAGGATTCCATAGTGTGCCCCGCTCGAACTCGAACTCGAACTCGAACTGAAACAGTTATACTTATATAGATGAACTCAACCCTGAAAGGATATATGGAAGGAACCGAACTCGAACTGGAACTCGAACTCGAAATGGTCCCCCCCCCGGGGTGTAAACATTTTCGTCGATTTGAATTCGAATTCGAACTAATGCTACGTTGTAATGGCTTCTTCCTACTCTAAACTGTATCTTCGTGTGGCCCACAAAAGGCATGCCACGTTGCAATGGCTTCTTCTTCCTTTTCTAGATTTATTTCGAATGGCCAGCACAAGGAATGCTGCGTTGCAATGGCTTCTTCCTATTCTAAATTTTACCCTCGGATGGCCCACAAAAGGGATGCTACGTTGTGGTCAGTTGGTTGGTTGCTGCTGGCGCCGCTGGCAGGTGGCTGTTGGTTGGTTGGTTGGTTAGCAGGTTTTTTGCCGCAGGGAGTTCACACTAAAATGTTGATTTCGTGGCAGGCGCGGGTTTTGGAGATGAAGTGCAGATTTCGTGGCGCGGGGGGGGTTGGGGGGGTGCGCAGCCCCCCCCCCAGCAGCACACCAGACCCCAATAAAACAAGTTAGCTGCAAAGATGAGACTGCGCAGCGCGGATATTTTCAACAGGTTGATTGCTTTGTTGCTAGCTTGGTTGGTTCCTGTTCTTCTTCTTTGTTGTGGCTCGTGGCGATGGCTGTTGTGGTTGTTGTCGTTGCTGTTGGTCGAATCTGCGCATCGAACTCGAACTCGAACCCGAACTCGAACTCGAACCGGTCCGCCCCCCCGGCTCTAATTGTTGTCGATCCGAACTCGAACTCGAACCGGTCTACCCCCCCGGCTCTAATTGTTGTCGATCCGAACTCGAACTCGAACTCGAACCGGTCCACCCCCCCGGCTCTAACATTGTTGTCGATCCGAACTCGAACTCGAACTGGTCCACCCCCCGGGCTCTAATTGTTGTCGATCCGAACTCGAACTCGAACTCGAACCGGTCCCCCCCCCCCCCCGCTCTACTATTGTTGTCGATCCGAACTCGAACTCGAACTGGTCCACCCCCCCGGCTCTAATTGTTGTCGATCCGAACTCGAACTCGAACTGGTTCACCCACCTCTCGCTCGAGCCACGCACTTGCGCATCGAACTCGAACTCGAACTTGCACTTGAACCCGAACTCGAACGGGATCATTTAGAACCACCTGGGGCACGGCCTGGAGGATTCAGAATAATCTAAAGTCATACCGAAAGTTTCAGGTGTTAAGCAGAGGTCCGCAACATACTGTATCCGTACCCAAAGAAGGATTCACCATTAATGAACAGCATGTTTATTCCGATGAATCGAGTCGTGTTTGGCATGGTCGTGAAGCACCTTTTGGCATGGTAGTGTTTGCAATATACGCATAGCTTGTGGAAAGGAGTCACAGGATAATTCGAAAACGGGGTCCTGTCCTTTACTGGCAGATTCTGGAGGTCTTGGACGGAGCATTTAATGGCACAAATGAATGGGTTAGTTGGGAATTGAAAGAGAATATCAATATTTTCAAGATTTGTTGCTGGGAAGGGCAAAGGGAAGAGAAGGGTTTCATCTTGCCCAACTGATTCTTAGGTCCCTGACAAAGAACAGCAACAAAGGAGAGTAGCACATCTTAGAATCATAACACCAGAAGAATATTGGCGCGCCACACTTGTGTATATACAACATGGAAAGAATCGTTTGTCAAACGGTGGCATGCTCTCTTGGTGTCATTTTCTGTTTAAGCCGCTTGTTCGGACGATGCAACGCGAGTCCAGACAGTGCCATTTGGGTTTGACTTTATGCCTTTTGCTTTGAATGTCTTTCTGCGATTTGATTCCAGTGAGCGCAAGAAACACCTATTTTCTTGCAGGTTCTGAGCGCAGTGGATGAAGCGATTTCAGCCCAGACACTACTCTTTGACAGGACTAGTCCGCCTGGTATCAAGGGTTGGCTGTGGCAATGCACATCAGTCTATTGGAAGGGCAGCGCTGCTTCGACTGTTTTAGTCTTAGCAACTGTGCGCGATCCATTGCGTGACACTGGAGATTTCTTTGTACTACAGTGTACTTTAACTTTTGTCGCAGTGACCTCAAGCAACAAATTCTACAAACAACCTAAGATAGCTCGAAGGATGCAGCCAGGTCCCAGGAAGCGCAGCTGGATTACTTGTGCTGCGGGGGTCGGGATGCAGGACTCCTAATGGATCCTGAGAACTAGGCGCGCTGTCAAGTTCAAGGCAAGGGGAACTACAACATGTTATGGCAACTAGAGAGCGGAAGAGATTGTTGGTAAACAGTTCAGAGATGACCAAGTAGCTCCACATTAATTTTCACCATTACCGGAATGAGAGAAATTGGATATCGGATTTGTGTTTTGAATGAGCTGACATTCAATGTTTCAAACATATTCCTGCTGCTTACTTTTCCAAAAAGACCTCCAGTATCCTCCAGTGGTATTGTTTGTCGAAGCTGCATAGTGTGTTGGACGCCTGAACAACAGTCGGCTGGGCCATTGACGGTTCCTAGTAGATTCCTTTGCTAGTAATTACAATTCTAATTAAATTCTTATTGTTACTAGTAGTAAGGCACTTGTTTCTAATAGCTTTTTGTTACTACTAGTAAGGCACCTGTTACTAGTAGCGTGGCACTTGTTCCTAGAAATGGGGCCCTTTGCGATTCTGTCGGCAACCGGCGCTTCAACACCCCAACAATTTTCCACACAACTTTGGTTTGCATGCAAAGGTATGCAAGGTGTTTTTTTCCAATTGGACTTGGATCAGTGGTGCGAACAGGGAAGCAATACACTTTGATTTCCCCAATGTTGAAACAATACTGTTTACCTCCTTGCTCCGCCTTCAGGGCTGCTGCAGCAGAGCAACAATCAGGCCTGACATGAACCAGGCCATGTATCTATATGTATCTATTATATATAAGAATAGATATATGTGTTTATGTGTTTGCAAGCTTTGCACTCACCGCTCGTCATTGTGTCATTCATCTCCACTTTAATTTTCACAAAGCAGGTTGGCAGGTTGTTAAAACCACAGCTGCCTAACCAAATGCCTTGTCTTTGAATATGGAGTATTGCCAGCGCAAATATCGGAAGCATTTGGCTCGAAGTGCAGGCTCCAAAGCGCCCAAAGGCACAAAGCCACATTTCAGACCAATTCTGACAAAGGTTGGAAGCCCTTGAGGGGCTGACCCTTTTTTGACTGTCCGATCGAAGCAAACGACTGAAAATCCAAGGAAATGCCGACACGTCTTCGAGTCATGCTAGAAGCAAAGTGTGCTTAAACACTTGTGAAATGTGAAATGTCCAGGCCGTTTCTGTGGGTAAGTTACAAGTCCAAAGACGGAAAAAGACCGAAGATCCCATGCTCACCAGGTGACTGCTGGACTTGAGTCTCCAAACGCTACAGGAACCACACAGCCTAGACCTAGTGACTATGTAACGCGGCCTAGACGCTTGCACAAGTACATATACGTATACATATATATATATACAAATATATATATATATACAGTGGTCCTAATAATTCCAAGCATCTTCAATCAGGATTTGTTTCACATTGGCTACGTGAGAACAGTAGTTTGCTGGGGCATTTCACATAGTTATTGGAACACCTTTCTAGTTCTGATGGCCGGTTGCATCCAATCATATGAATCACATCTTGTTTGGACATTTGCCTCCTTGATTTATGTTTCGTTTTGTCACAGGTACTGTAACGGTAGTTTTGGTTTTACTATTACACCCTATTGGAGCACTGTGATTCCCTTAACCGACCTAATAGCTACAGGTTTAGATGTGTTGAAGGATCAGAATGATTTAGATGTTTGATGGGTGATACACTTGCTGGTCAATGTTGTTGTACAGGTGAGCCAGCAAACAACAAAATTATACAACATGTAGCACTTCGATGCAGCTTGATATTTCGTTGCATGCAGATTCTGGGATGGAGATGCACTGCTTTGCAATACGTGTGTTACCCTAACTTTCACAACGAACCCAAAAGGAGCCTAGCTGCAGAAACCCCGAAAGAGACATTGAGCCTTTGAAAACGAGCACTACATTCGCAGCTCGCACTTCCATGGAAGACTAAGTCAGGGGGTGGTAGCGCTCTTCCTGACACGTGATCACACAGATCTTCTTGCCGCGAAACCAAGCGGCAGCCACATCTCAATAACCAACAAGACTCAACAAGAGACAATCAGTAGTAACAATGTTCGCTAGTAGTAACAGGTGCCACGCTACTAGTAACAGGTGCCTTACTAGTAGTAACAAGAAGCTAGTAGTAACAAGTGCCTTACTCGTCCTTGAGCAAGTTCTTCGTCCCGGAAGGATCATCAGCAAAGGACAATTGCATTATATAAGTACATGCTATTCTCCTGACTTCAAAGCTCTGGTTTCAAGGCCAAATCAGAAGCAAATCCAGGTTCAGTCAGTGGAGAGTATTCCCCAAAGCGATTGCTGATTCATTTTACATTTTGTTCATGCCACATTTGCAGAAAGATGTGCTCAAGTCCAGAAAGATCGACCAATCACAATCGACTCAGACGCGTGGAGGGAGGGCTCTACCAGGCACACTCGCATAGACATGCTCGTTGAAGACTTACGGAAAGGTGAGTGACCTGGGCTTCCCAAATAGGTCCTTAGGTGCATTTCTGCAGCGACATCCTTACTTGCTTCACTTCCAGAACGTGAGACCCTGTGATTAAGACCAACCAAACATAGACAATGAACGCAAGTGTGAATGTCATGGACCCAGCCCCAGAATTTGCAGTTGTTTGATGTTGTTTGGGCAGTTGGCGGTTGATGTCTATTGTATAGGCAGTTGGCGGTTGATGCCTCCACGCGATGTTCGAGGATGGGATGGGCTAACTTGAGGGTTGCAAGACTTTTGAAGACTGCTGCCGGAATAGTTTAGAAGCTGAAACAAGTTCTATGCCATCATGCTGGATCCTTTTCCATGCTTTCCTGCTTCTACGAAGCCTTCAGGAGCAGGTCAAGCCCATCGGAGTCATATGCGTCGCATTGCTCACCAAGCCGAGTCCAACACCGGTGCTGGCGAGCTAGAACATAGAGCTGCTGGAAGCTTGAGAAAAGAGAGCTACAGACTGCAGAGCAATAACTGCCTCATGGATGAGAGAGGGAATCATTGACTACTCGAGAATATATTCTTTGTGTGGAGGAATGAGGAAGCGCTCCGTACAACCACGACTTACTTTCTCCACCTCTTTGCCATTCTTTGTCCCCACCGCAGGCCAGAGCTGTGGATATTCAGCAATCCATGGAGCAGGCAGGTGCGTTGAGACGTTTGCCAGATGCCCTTTTTTCCAAGTTGTTTGCAATACTGTCCATGATTGCTGAAAAGAAGAACAGGGACTACCGAAGATTTGCTGTACAAAGACTTACTGTATGTGTCACACTGCACAAGACAATGCCAACCTGGGATATCCAGCTACACTCGATTTTGCATGGTACAGTTGTCCTGCGATTGACTGCACCAATTAAGACATGGGAGCAAACAGTATAGCATGATAACATGTTCAATGTACATGCAATTTCTGGCTGTTTGCAGCTCACATGGAATTTGCTGTACTTTAGGATTAATTACTCAGGACTCACGACTCATATGTCTCCTGGTGATTGGGACCCGTGCACTGACGGGAAGTTGATTTTTTCTGAGGGGTGCAAGTGAACCACTGCATTGTGTGTAGCCCCGTGTAGTGTAAGAGTCTCACATTTTCTGTGATATTGTGTCTCCTGCATGAACTTTAGTGTATTCGTGTCCAACATGTCGCCCCAACATAAGGATGCGAGCATTTGTCACCATGTTATGGGGCAGGTTGAACCGTGTGAGCACTTTAAGCGCCGGTACAGGCTGTTGAAGCTTTGGAAAAGTCTTTGGATGTGGAAATTGCTGCTCGAGAGCAACGGCAAGTCAACATTGAACAGGCGTGGATTTTGCTGCTTGAAGATCCCGGAATCTCATTGAAGGAGGGGAATATGGTTCAAAGATGTTCGAAGAAGCTGTTGCTAGAGGAACTTGCTTGGGAGACTAAGCTCTGATAACAAACCACCAGGACTACAAGTTGTTTTTCTCGAAGTTTCCAGACATCCAACCTATCTTCAGTATCCTCAGTATCCTCACTATAAACTGAGCTTGGCGTTCCAATCAGAACCAATCCTTTGGTTTGGCTGACTGAGTCCATGTTGAAACTGGTTCTATTATTGCGCTACTCTTTTTGATGCACTAATATATATATATATATTATATGTAAACTATAAACTATATAGAAGCACCAGATGCAACACTGCAACACATCTTGGGGCTCGCCAGGAATGGATGAGGGAAATGGACCGGCTGGAGAAGAGGCATTTCATGGCATTTCACACTGCTTCACGCCAATGTATTCAAGCATGTCAGCCGAACCCTAGGACGATTGACCAGTTGATAGCTGCCTTGCGCTAGGCATGAGTCTGTGGCGGCCGTTTGCGACAAGTGTGTGGCGGGCCTGCACGAGGCAAGGCGATACAACTAGGGAAGTCTCATTTGAGATCATTTGAGCTGAGTATTTTTTGTACATGAAAGGAATTATATGGAGGTTGTCCTGTGGTTTGTTCGCGGAAGCAAATTCGCTTGGAGGCGTAGGCTCGCGCAGGCATTGTTGGGGAATGTCTTCGCGTAGGTTCCTTGCGTAGGTACCCCTTTTCATACAGTTTGATTGCTTGAATGTGTTGTGTCTCAGTCTCATGGTTTCGGTGTTTTGCTAGGACAGGGGCTCAGTTCAGAGGGACAATGGCCAGCAAGGAACACGATCCCGACACTGCACACATGCAAACAAACAATGCAGATAGTGCGTGAAATTGCTGTGGCAAAGCCATTCTTGCTAATAGCGGCGATGAAATACGTGTTTTCTCGCGTAGGCTTCCTGTACACACCGTGGGCGGACCTCCCATTTGTGCACTATACCCCACGTCTCCGCACAACTGTCTTTTAGCTGACAAGTCTTGCCTTGCAGCTTGCTGGCAAAAGCATTGAGTGAACACACGTCTTCTTACAGGTGGCAGTAGTAGTGGTAGTCGTCGTAGTCGTAGTCGTAGTGGCAGTAGTCGAGTTCACCAGGCAGCGACTAGACCACAAGCACAGAAGAGTGAAACCCCATGGCAGCGTAGGCAAAAACACACTATCACTAGCAACACAAAAGATGCATCGCGTATGCTTCGCGTAGACGTGCTTCAACTACCGTTGTCTCGCGTAGGCAAACACTGTTGTGGCGTAAGCACGCGTAGGCTGCTAGCGTAGGCACCGACCAATTTCAATACTCCACATAACAAAAAACGCTGCTCATTTCATGTGGTAGAATCATGTTCGCAATGCATTTTTCGGCCATAGTGATATAGTGCTCATGCTTCGGACCTTTGCTAGAGCTGTGGCCTATGGATGTTCTCAATGGGAACTTGTCCAAATATAAGCCAAAGCAAGCCCGAGAGAAGTGGTTCATAGGTTTACAGACATAGACGACTGCACGGACTGCAGTCCTTCACATGGTCCGGGCCTTCTGAAAGAACATGGGGCAAGTAGTTCACCATGCCGTCGTTTCAATTGATATCCCCCTTTGAACTAATATACAGTATACATCAGTATATATATACACATACATACATAGACAGATTCTAAGTTTTTTTGGAGATATGTCAACATGATCCCAAACTATCCCAACTCCGTGCATCAGCTTCGGAGATTGGAAGGACATTGTTGCTCGGTCTGACTGACAAAGAATCGATCCCCGCAAAGGGTGAAATTGTTCCGTGGGTGGGCAGGTGGCAGGCTTTGGGCACACGTCCAAGGAGTAGTGAAAAGGAAAGTGCAAATCTCTTCTGAAAAGCTATGGTGCAACTAATCTTCCCATGATATGGATGTAGCATAGCTTTTTGTTTTGCTAATGGCGGTGGTAGTTTGGAGCACTCTCAAATGGACATATTTCGTTTCAATTTGATTCACATGCAGCAGGGACCTCATGAAGGTTGGAAGCAACTGGCATGATAAAGCATGTGCTAGTACTAGGCTGAGGAACACCTTTGGGCCTCAGGATGCTGAACAAGAGCATGAAGCACGTATTGGTCATCAAGATCCTGTGGTGGAGGCTGCACCAGAGCAAACTGACCGGAATTTCTTGTCAGCGTAACAAACTGAAGCACAAGAAGATGAAGAGATAACTTTGGAAAGTGTTTGAGTCCTTGTTTCTGCAGACTCTCACGAAGTTCCTCAACGATTTCCATGCAGATGTTGAAGAGAAAGCCTTACAAGGCTAATTCAGCGAGGTCCCCAAGAAACGAGCTGAGACAAGACATTGCGTAGAACAGGCAGGGGAATTCATGGGATATGGGTGCGCCGATTATCTGGATACCTCAATTTGGGACTTACCAGGGGTTCAGTGACACCTTTGGCCTAATGCAGATGTTTGAACCGACTCCTTTTGTTACATTCAGTGGGTGTGCATTCTGGTTTTTGTGTTTGCATCTTAGATGTGCCAAGGCCGGAGCCTCCCCCTGCGCTGTGGGTGTTTGTGGAGTCTTTGCAGCCCTCCTGCGGAAAGTCTGCAGATCTGCGGCAACTCTCAATAGACTTCAGATGTTTCGTTTTGATAATTTGAATGTTTTATCATTCAACAGGTTGAATGACTTGACAAAGGAAGATCAGAAAAATGATTGCCTGCAAGCACAAGATGTTTGGCGTTTCACAGAACCGATCTGCTGGGGAACCCAACAAAGATCAGTCATCGCTCAGCTGACTGTGCTTTTGTTCCCCAGTGGGATGAGTCCTGCTGTCGAAGACAGCATTAGATCAGATGGCGCGTTGCAAGTGGCCAGTTGTGAGCCTGGTAATTTGTGTTGCAAAGGTGATAACGAAATGTGAAGAACAAGGAGGCACTCTTCACCTGTTGAGCCCACCTTCTCTTTTCACTGATTTAGTCATTAAACATGGATTAACATGGGCTTCTTGTGTACAGGGCTATGAAACTGAGTTTTCAGGCTTTGCAATGAAACCATCGATGTGCATAAAGGAACACCAAAGGATGCACTTTGACCTTACATGTGTACGACATACTGCACAGATGCTAAGTTTCCTTTGACAGCTGCAAATGCTGGCAGCTGGCTGCTTTGATTGTTGCATTGCGCGTGCAGCACGTCAATTGCAAGTTCAGGCATCGTACAAAAGGGCGCTGAGTATGCCAATCACTTATTGAACAATGATTCTGACGCCAGATAAGAGATGAGATAATTTCAAGTGCTTTCGTGTGTTGCCCAAGCTCAAGGCATGCAAGCTTCTGAACGGTTCGAATTTCACGACACTATGACAATATGGCCTCTATTCATCAGCACGTGCATTTGGAGGCTGTGTGCTGTGTCCCTTGGGAAACCTGGTGGTGTTCCATTGCTACCTCATTGCGACCAACACCACAACCAACGAGGAGCTACAGACTTTTCGGGATGTTTTGGTCAGACCATGCTACTGAGTCCAAGTGTGGAGAAGTTGCTTTGAAGGCATGTGTTTTGTTTGTCACACTCTACGGAAAGCCGCTTGTAATCTCTGCCTGAGTCAAAACGGCATATTGACACACTTGCCTCATGAACCTTGAACGGTCCTTGAACGGTCATACACCGCTGCCAAAAATGGTAGGGGCATATGTCGTTCTACAGGAAGGCACTACGCTGCGCTAGTATTGTTGCAGCCACTGCATTTTCTGTTCAGTACTTGCTCAGGAGATCACTCATGCTTATGAAAGGACGGGCTCTGGATTCTTCAAACTGTTCAAACATCACATGCATTTGACAATCTTGATAATCTTGATCTTTGCGAAACTGAAAACAGTTTTTACTCTGAAAGCTCAGAGATGCCACGTGTTTTGCTTAGGACTTAGGACCTAGGAAGAAGATCGTTTCTGCATCGACATGTTTCTCATGTCTTAAGCAAAGAATGGTACAGGTACAGTCATGTCCTTGCCATGATTCTTATTTCTGGGTCCTGAACTATATCAGGTAGAGTGAGTGAGAATCCGCATACTGTCTTTGTTCACCGTTAGATGAAAATCCTGCCGCTAGTAAAATATAGCAATCAACCTACATTCCCGTGGTTGAGTCTAGAGTTTTTTGACTGTCCAGAATTGGCTTGCTGCCTTGCGATCACTTGCCCTTACGGTAAACTGCCTTAGATAAGCTTTTAGCTGCAATCTCAATAGACAGAGCACAGAATAGTGCGCAAATAGCAGATACATTCGGATTTGGCAAGTCTCCATCCAGTCTCCTGTTACAAGTGTGTCCTTTTTCTTTCATTACTAAGACTACACTTCCATGCTTGATGTTTGACGCCGCCAATTAGTACCACACTTAGACAAACCAAATACGGTATTTGTCTCCGCTCCACATATATAGCATAGCTGCAGCCAACATTGCGTTAAGCAAGCTCACAGACATACAGACGAAGAACACAAAGGATAAGTGATGCTGCCATGGATCTTGCTCCAGTCAGCTGCAGCTCGAGCCTGCTGCGGCCTTCCGCCATACAGGTTTGTGGAAAGTCAATGCTTATGCTTTTATGCAGCACTGCAGCACCAACTATTACCAATTATTTGAATCCTAGGCCATAGATGCCTTACACAACTGCTGCAGCTGCAACTGTATGAAAGTATGTGTTCAACTGTTTTCACACATCATATCCCCTGTCTTGGACTAGAGACTAAAGCCTGCACTAAGAACACCAGTCAAGAATATCAAGTCCAGAGCTTGTGTCAATCTCCATGACCTGTGTCAATGCTGTGGATGGTGGGCCGTGTGATTTTTTTGCTCTATGGCGTTGACTCTCGCGTTGGGATGTCCGTATGTCGAAAGCATGCAGTCACTTCGTGGACATCAAAGAGCACATCGACTGCATTGGCGGAGTCATGCACATGGCTTGACGGTGGCCCGGTCCCGAGTGACTGTGTCAATGTGGCTAGTCCCGGCATTAGTCTTATCTCAGAGGTTGATCACCTGTCAGAGCCTACTCTTAAAGCATTTAAGCCAAGCCGTGTTTGTCGAAGACTCTTCATAAGGGAGAGTGAGGTTGAATCAAGTGTAGAGGTTGCATGGTCTGAGTTCGAATCTCTAAATTGACTTGGTCCATTTGATTCCAGTTGAAGCCCCGACACCTGCATGAGAAAAGCTAGCCAGCACATCTCGCTAGTGATGTTGCCACACCCAGCACCTCCAAGGGTTCCAGACTGAAGACTGATGCATAGAAGCAACAGGTCTAATCAATCGCAACTTGTTGAAACCTACATGCTGAATAACTATACTATATTTATATACACACTATATACTCTAGTTTCTAAATACCTGGCGGTGAAACTTGCATTTTTGGTATATAGTCGAAACGCCATTGGCTCCTGCTCTGTTCTTTTGCATCCTTTTTTAAACATCTAGGTTGGGCCGAAAAAGTAGATGGAACCTGTACGTTTTGACCTAGCAAAGATGACGTGGCAAGAAATGTGGCTTTTTTGGTGATGCTGGAGGTGTCCACGTGGTTGTTTTGCTCAGTCAAGTCTACTCAGTAGCAAGTGTTTACGCTTGAATGGCGCCATCATGATACTATTTGGTTCATTGCATTCCTGTGGCAAGGATACAGTGTTGGTCCATTACAGAATCCCATCTTCCCATCTTGGAGAACGGAAAAGATCAGAAAAGTACATGGTGCTGAGTTTTTGGGGTATAGGGAACTTGCCTAGACATGGCTGTGAGAGCCTTGGCTTTAAGTAGGCAATCTCCATCTACCATTCAGAGAGCATTTTTGGAACCGAGTTGCAATCTACAATAGCCATCTACTATCCATTTTTCAACGCCACGTGCCCTGGCCTAGAACTACTATGCATGTATACATATGATAGTTGGTCAAAAGGTTGACATAAGGCCCAGGTTCATTTATATAGAGCTTCTTCTTATGTTGTTCGTGCAAGTTTCTTTTGAGTTCGCAAAGATAAAGGTATTTTTGGAACAAATATGGGAAAGATAGGTATGTGGAAGCAACCGGACCAAGAAGACTTCTAACACATACCCCTTGCGAAAGTTGGACATGGAGATTGTGAAAGATTCACGGAAGTAAGTTTGTTTTTTTATTGCGAGGAATTGCGTTTCCGTAAGAAGGGGTTTAGACCAACCACCAATAGAGACAGAGCTATCCAGTTTCTCTTGCATGCGGACACTTGTGACTTGTATCTCTGAAATTCCAAATCGCCTTCTGTACTGGAAACACACTAATTCTGGAGTTCCATCAAGTGCATAATTTGCCCTGAAGTCCTACTGCATCAGATCAGGTGAAGCTTGCCGCTGCTGCTTTTCATGTCTCGACATGCAGAAACTCCAAAGTAGAAACAACTCAAAAGAGGACGACACAGGCTCAATCACTACGTGTGTTGCGCTAAGAACGTTTTCAACACATACATACAGCATATTAATACAGAGAAGTGTGGCACTGCCAAAAAATCCTAGAGTGCCAATAAAAACCTGAGCAACAAGACAGAAAGCAAGACCGGCTTGCTCTACTAGTTAATCCCTGGAGTTTGCGTCTCCGGTTGCAACCAAAATGTTCGAATACCTGTTTAAGCTTAGAAGCCTTGACTAGCAACAAGAAGCTACTAGGGGCTCCCGGCATCGCTACTAGGAGCAAGGACGCTACTAGGGGTTCCTGGCCGTACTACTAGGAGCAAGGACGTTACTAGTACCCATTGCACGGGGTGCATCTATGGCCCTTGCCATGTTCCCACGCCTCAGTCCATCCTCAAGGGCTGAAACCTTCCGGCACAGCCCTGTGAGTCGCGGCTGGGCTGGAAGACAGCATGGGACGGCAGGCCTCCAACCTAATAGCGATAGCCTCCAATCCCATAGCAACGGCCCATGGCATAACAGTGTTTTAAGATTGATTAAACATGATTAAACAGGGTCAAATAGACTCATGTTTGGGGGAGTCGCTGATCACCCGACTGGATTGCTGATGGAGGAATGGCTGCACAATCATGAGTTGTGCACAATGCAGTAGCCTGTAAGCCTGTTGACAGAAACCAACCAGAACACATAAGCGTTCTCCAGCATTATGTTACAGTAATCTGTAGTAATTAATAATTTGGCTGCGTTCATTTGTCATGAGCCAACATATCTCATGATAATTTGTGGTGTCAAAATGTTTATATAAGCACATGTTGTGCGGTCGGGTGCTTCAAATCTAAGATCAAAGCGCAAATGAAGCTTGAGCCTCCTGCCCGGCCATCGAAACCTGAGGA